CAGCCAATCAATTTTTTTTTCTTAACTAATGACATGGTACCCTTTTTTTATGAGTTGGCATTTTATTTTATTTTATTTAAAAATAATAAATTTTTTTTCCATCCATGTCATCTCTTCTTCTTCTTTCACTTTCTCTCTCTTGTCGCTTCTTCTTCCTCTCCAAATCAAACCCAGATCTGGGTTTTTCTTAAACTCAAATAACTCCTTCGATACCACTAAAATGCAACAAAAGAGAAACTAAATCACAGTCTACCAATAAAACCTCCATGTCATCTCTTCTTCCTCTTTCACTTTCTCTCTCTCTTGTCCCTTCCTCTTCCTCTCCAAATCAAACCCAAATCTAGGTTTTTCTCAAACCCAAATGACTCCTCTGACACCATTGAAATGCAACAAAGAGAAACTAAATCACAGTCCAAAAAAAAACCTCAAATACATATTCGAATTTCATCAAACCAAGTCAACTCACATGGATGCAAATAAATCAAAAAGAAACAGTATTGAACCACCGAAGACTCGATATGTAGCAAACCAAAACCTAAAATGCCGATGAAATCAACACAGAAACCAGCGAGCACTGGTTTAAAGAGAACCAAAAATTCTAGTTCCAGTTCCATCAAGACAAAGAACAATAGCAAAATCAGGACCAAAAATCAACCACAATAGTTTGAAAAAACAGAACAAATCGTGTAGGCGAAGACCAGATCTGGGCGATGGCCGCCAGATCTACGAATTCCATCATGCAGCTGGGTAGATTTGCGTGAGGGAACAAGGAGCTGTGAGACCTGCATGCAAGCAGGCAACACACGGAAACAGGAAACAAAGAAAACAAAAACCCAAAAAAGGCACCCGAAGGGCCTAGTCGCCGACAGACCTCATGGGGTCATCGGAGCAGGGAGCAGGCCGGCTCCATCAGGCTTGAGCAGCCGGAGAACCCGGTGGCTCAAGCAGCAAAACTCAGAAGCCCAAGGCTTTCGAGCACAAAAACAACGAGATGCCGGAGAAGACGATCAGAAGCAGGAGATGGGGGGGAGAGAGAGAAGGGGGATTTTGCCAATCTGGTGGGATATTAATTTATGTATATTACCAATGGAAGATGAATTTTAATATTTTCTTTGCAAGTTTGATCGAACCCAGATCTGGAGAGGAAGAAGAAGAGGGGAAGAGAGGAGAAGAAAAGTTAAAAAAAAGTCATGTGGGCCCCATTAAAAGGGAAAGTTTAAAAGGTGATAATATGATGTGTAAAAAAATATGTGACGTGTACAAAAAAAAACATGCCATATGGTAACAAAATTTTCATAGTTGGATTTACACGTCATTAAGATTCAAAAAGTTTAATGATTTTGTGGCATTTTAACGAGCCACCTGTCATTTAACTGACGGAATGACCATTTTAGTATCGAAAATGAAAGTCTGAGGATAATTTTGGTGCTTTTTAAAGTTAAGGAACAATTTTGGTACCAAAATGACAAGTTGAAGGACCAAAATGGTACTTAAACCTAACTCAATTTAAGTTAAGCACGAGCTTCAGCTAGATAAAGCTCGATCGTACCGAGCCTGAGTTTGATAAAATGGAGCAGTGGTCGAGCCCGAGCACCTTTAGGATTCGGCTCAGCTCGGCTTATTTACAGCACTACCAAATAGACAATGACAATGTCAGCACGCGGCTGACGAGCAGGCCCAGCTTGAGTTCCGCCTCGTCTCTTCTGTATCTTCACTTCTTCATGCATGCACCATCAACCGGTGAGGTTTGTTATTTTATTTCTTCCAGTATTTAGATATGGCTGATTGTTATTGCCCTGCTGCTTTTGTCTGACAATCCAAGATTGTCTCTTCCTGTTGAAACATTAATATGGTAATTAGTCCTATATGAGGCTGTTGTTTTGTCTAATGTACGTATCTCATCTCCCTGTTCCGTTGCTAATCTTATGTACGTAATTGGTCTGTTCTCTCCTTTTCTTTTTCTTGCTAATTGTTTGGTAGAATTATTCTTCAAATCACAGATTAAATAATAAAGTGCCCTTAACTTGACAACCAGACCCAAAATAAAAATAGAACGTACGACTAATTTACGCTTTATTCTCGATCCTTTTATTTTAATAATTTTACAAAGAATCGATTTCTTTTGCACATACTAAAAGTAAAAAATTTATTAAGTGTTTACATGTGAGTAATGAAAATTTTATATTAGAATTGAAAAGTAAAAACTAACCCAACAAAATTTGTTGTATATATAAAAATCTATAAATTTATAGACTAATATTTTGAATTTAAAATAATATGTTTACATGTTAAACCCTTAATTGTTACTGCAGATCCAGTTCACAATTCCACAGTGGTTAGTAGTCCTTGGACTTCCCGACGGAATTTTACTCCAAAAGCTTTTGTCTTATGTTACAAAATTAATTATTCCAGGGAAGGATGTGAACTACCAAGTACCAACTGGTACCGACATATCAACAAGGAGCTGAACCCTGTTAATTTGTTTGGAGTCATCCTTTGTCTTCTTCAATATTCATTAATTATTTGGTGAGTAGTTTGTTATTAATTAAGGGTTTGTTAGCGATGGCAATGCTGAAGAGAAAAACACTCAAGAAATTAAGTATTAATTTATGTTTTCATCACTTTGTATATGTTTTTTCATATATAATTCTGTCACATTATATATGGCTAAATCTGCTTAGTTTTTAACTTCTAGCACTTGACTTCCTGTTTTGAGTTGTTTTCCATCATTTAAATGTTTTACCTTACTTCCTCTTTACAAAAGAACGATGCTAACTCTTTTGTCGTCAGATATGGCTTTACTCTTCGGAAAAAAGATGAGAAAATTGATCCTAGCTGCTTGTTAATTTGTTTTTGCCTTTGATTATTCTGGGATTCCTTCATTTGTCTAGCAGAAGACACTTTTTACATCTATATATATGCACAACTTCATATCATTT